TCGTCATAGACTTTGTTAGAGAAATCCCTCGTATGGACATTATATCGCGTTGGTTTCAAGACGCTTTTATCGTAGTGATCGGACATGGCCTCGCTGTAGATCTTTGGCAAAAGAGAATGTGTGAATTCATTCTGAATTCACGTAGACGACCAAACGGGCAGGTCCCAAAAACGCGTTCATGATCCTATGACGCTATGCCCTGGGATGGCGGTCGGTGAACTTTCCGGGCTTGCTAGTCAAGCCTGGGAACATCAATCGCAAAGGGGTGGAAACTTTCTGTCCCAGCAAACGAGGATGATTTATAATACACGTAGACGACCAAACGGGCAGGTCCCAAAAACGCGTTCATGATCTTAAGACGCTATGCCCCTGGGATGGCGGTCGGTGAAATTTCCGGGCTTGCTAGTCAAGCCTGGAAACATCAATCGCAAAGGGGTGGAAACTTTCTGTCCCAGCAAACGAGGATGATTTATAATACACGTAGACAACCAAACGGGCAGGTCCCAAAAACGCGTTCATGATCTTAAGACGCTATGCCCCTGGGATGGCGGTCGGTGAACTTTCCGGGCTTGCTAGTCAAGCCTGGAAACATCAATCGCAAAGGGGTGGAAACTTAAACTATCCCAACAAACGAGGATCATCATTTGGAAAAAATCTTTTATCCTTAGTTGACCAGCTTTATGAGAAAAATATTATGCATGAACAGAATTAATCATCAGTCATCAATCTTCAGAAAATTTCGGTCAGATACTTGTTTCTTGCTTACTATGTGGAAGCGAAATGTGTCTTGACGATCAAAAACATTATTTATTATTTAATTTCCGGGAAAGATTTAATTTTTTATTGAAAATTTAGGCAAAAATAGCATGATTTTTACATATTCTAGGTGGTGGTTGAGATTTCGAAAACGAATTTTTCTACCGATAAGTGATTAATTGATTTCGAAATTTTTAACGCGAAAACTATTATTAAAATTTTAATTAATCAAAATGTACAAATTACATCGAGTTAAAAAAATAAATAAACTTCCCATATAATATCTTGATTATCTTTGTCATCTCTTCAATAAAAATTTAATCAAATTATGATTAAGATGATGAAACCAGTTGAATTTATCATTTTCTTTAAATATGAGTTAAAATATTTCGTATTTGAACAAAAATAGTTTGTAAAAATATTTGTACATATTAAATAGTTTACCTCTGATGGCAACTTGAAAGCATTACATATGAAATTTTGATAGTAGATTTCTCTTGACCTTTATTAAACGCATTAGAAACTAAAATTGTTTTCGAATCCTTGGAAAATTTTCATAAACATCACCAAGAAAACGTTATAGTTGTATAAAGGGATTGATTTGTTCATCTGTGAATATATCCAACTGAGTTTTCTCGAGTTCCATTTACATCGCTTTGAAATTGAAATAGATGATGTTATGAAAATATGAATAACGATAATCATAAAAACCAATAATAAATTACGCACCAAAATGAAAGATATTCTTAAATATATTTGTCATTCGAAAGTCTACATACACATAAACTTTCGATGGTTTTCATTTTATCAGCCGAAAATAATATTCCTCTAGTTCATATACTAATTGACATCGGAATATATTATTTATCGATATAAAGAGTTGGTTTAGGAAAAACTCGCGTCCTATTTAATAAAAATCAAACCAATTACCAAATGTAAATCACCTTTTTGTTATATCTCAAATTCTTTTGACATGATTGATAAAGATTTTCCAAATCCATACCCGAAATCTATGCCTATATTTTGGCCCTAATCATCTTTTGGTAGAATAAAATTACAGGATTCCGGCAATAAGATCTATAAAGAAAAAAAATTTTTTTTTTTGTTACTAGATTTAATAATCCAATCAAGTAAAGTATTTATACTTACTATCCGTAATATATAAAAGCGTAGAATATTATGCTCTTTCTTTTATTATGATCTTGTTTTATGTAAAACCTTATATATAAAAAAAAAAAAGAAAATCAATTTAAATTACATCTTGCTGTGATTACGAAAATTGTCATTTAAAGTTGTTCAGTGAATTTAAATACGCTAAGTTTCCATATATGTTTTACCGGACATATTCCTACTGCTTGAAATGCGAGCCTTGCTTTGAAACTCCATGTTTAATCCTGTACGTAACGTAAAAGAAATTTAGTAAAGTCTGAATTAAAAGATTCACATAATCTCACTGCTCAATTTGTCACTTACATATTTCCACAACAAATGCTTCTCTTAAAGTAGATAATATCCTTATTGTTACAACAACTGTACTAGTAATCGCAGTGGACAACACTTATAACGGATGATGTCAATATAATACGCTCAATGTTCAGTCGTCTAAATAATTATGAAGTTCGGTCAAAAATAAATGTAATATACAATGCCTAGATGAGTAGGAAGAATAGCCTGATGCACCTCTTCATCCTAGATATATTTCTTCATAACTTCTGTTATATGAATTAGATTAATATATGAAATCATATGGAATGATTAACATTTGATTCTCACATCAGTTGATCTTATGATTTGGACATTCAATCATTTACTCGTAATTCTTGAATTCAATAATGCTTTCGCTCACAGCAATTTCTAATTGTGATGAAAAGTTGTTTAAGAATATTTTCAATGAATTATGCGTGGATTCCACCTAAACCCTCGTCACTTTATACATACTGCTGACTGAGTCATTAGGTCTTAAATTCCCTAGTCCCATCCAGAATATCGGATATTTCAAAATTCGTTTATAAGAATAAATGAGGTCAATGTATTACTGTGGAACATTGTGGAAGAAAATCCGTATACCTTATATGCTTCTTTCGATCCTAATTCGCCTTTCCTCCAAAAATTTTATAACGCGACATTTTTCTGTTCGATAATCTGTTACTAAAATGTGGCTTAGAAATTTGTTTAACGATACACATGTTACAAGATTTTTATTGATGAAAAAACGAGTATTTTTTTTTTTATTTTTTATATTATTATTCGAAAGTTTCGCCAACTTTATATGCATCTTTTAACACAAAATAAAAAATTTATTTACTGCTACTATTACTAAAGTTGCTATGTTTAACAATAAAACAAAAAATAAATTTATAGCAATTCGTACAATAGGACACCAATGTCAATTGAGCAAGTACAAGGTCAAGAATCTCAACGTTTTATGGCACGAAGTACTGCTCGAATTTGCATAGAACAACAGCAAATGGCAATAAACAGTAAGTTAGAAATAATTTTTTTAATTTGATTTTATTTATTTTATATATACTAATTTTTTAAAACATTTTTATTTTATAGCATGAACGGAAAAAATAAGTTTTCATGTGTTGGTAATTTTTTCTTCGTATCGTTTATCGTATACGAGGATTTAGGAATTATAAAAAACTTTATTTGCATATTTAATGATTTTGTTACAATTTGAGAATTTATTATTTTATTATTAAATAAAGATGACTGTTTAAACTATTTTTTTCAAATCAAATTTCAAAGTCAGAAAAAAAAATATTATTTATTTATTATTAAAAATTATAACTGTGGGGTCAAAGGCTAGATCGTCTAAAGAAGTTATTTCTAGATTTTAAAAGAAGACCGTTTTTCGGGTATTCTATCGGCTTTATAAATACAGTATATCGAAGTAGTTCCTAAACCACCTTTATTCTTTGTGATCTTTGATGGATTACAGTCAATCCATTTTCTGGATCAAATTCAAAGAGGTGAAAGATGATTGTAGAAACCGTAAATATATGTTTCAGTACATAGGATTATTTCCATATGTGTGTTATCCTTCTTGCCATCAACAATGTGTAAACCTTTTTATAAGTTCGGATCTTTAGTAGAATGTACTCCAACTCTAATAGAAAAATGACTGGAAGACTCCGGAACTGCAACATAAGTCACATTTACTAAAAAAAATAAAATAAAATAAAAGAAAGATAATAATCATAAGATTGATGAAACAAAAAAAAAAGATACCAATAGATACAATATAAGAGTTAATAATCGTTATTACCTTTCTTTTATCAACCGGGACGATGAATTTTTGTGGTGATATAAAGTAAATTTTGTGTGTGATAAAAGTAAATTCTGTGAAATTTTGTGATTTGACCGAAATTAAGCAAGGTTGGCCAACATTACGACTCGTAAATTCTAGTGTTTACCGGAATTACAATGATTGCAAATCCTAAATTAGGCCAAAAACATGAACCAAATTTTGTGATTTTCTGTGAAATTCTGTGATCACAATATATCATTGTCCCTGTCAATCTAACTAATTCAAAAAATGGTGTCGCGAGTGTCGCGTAAATTGTATTAAATTGTGGGATGCATAATGCCCGGCTCACATATACGTGATCTCTCTCTATATACAACTTTCTAGTCGTGTCTGACGCCGTCCACCGTTAAATCTATAATTACATACTTCCTTTAATGACTTCATCCTCACCTAGAGTTTTCTATTGACAATGTTTCTGTTCTAGAACCTAAAAAGCTTTTTATCATCAGTAAAATGATCTTAAATAATCTTAAGTCATATTTTGGTAAACAGGAAATAGGTCCGTTTCATAAGGTATAAGATACGGTATATTTGTTTTCTTGGAGC